TGAGCTATAGGCGCCGAGCCAGTAGATAGGCTCTTAAGCATGAGCTATACAAGCTGGCAAAGATGAGGACAAGAAAGTCTTGGCAATGGCTTTGTGAGAAACAACTGATTTCCTAAAGGCCTCTTCTTGGCTCACAAACCTCTGGAAAATTGACAAGAGGATCTTCCTCTTAGAAATACATCCCCTGTCATAAACTTTCTGGAACTTCCACAAACCTCTGAAAGCCTCTCAGTATCTCCTGCTGAACATCCCAGGGGGAAAACAGGAAATGAGAAGGCAGGAGTGATTGCCACCAGGAGCCTGCTAGGCCCAAAGATGCTGCTCTACTTTTGGTCCTCGGGCTGGTGACTTGGGGATGCTGTTTGCAAAAGCCATGGAGCTGTATGATTTTTAAAAAATTTAATTTTTGTAGTCAGTGTCTTGCCACGTTGCCCAGGCTAGTCCTTTTTTTATTTTTATTTATTTTTTTGAGACAGAGCCTTTAGTTGTCACCCTTGGTAGAGTGCTGTGGCATCACAGCTCACAGCAACCTGTAATTCCTGGGCTCAAGCAATTCTCCTGCCTCCACCTCCCAAGTAGCTGGGACTACAGGCACTCACCACAATGCCCGGCTATTTTTTGGTTGCAGCTGTCATTGTTGTTTGGTGGGCCCAGGCTAGATTCAAACCTGACAGCTCAGGTGTATGTGGCTGGCGCCTTAGCTGCTTGAGCCACAGGCACTGAGCCACTAGTCTTGAACTCCTGGTCTCAAATGATCCTCCTGCCTTTGCCTATGTAGTAGCTGGGATTACAGGTGCGAGCTACTAAGCCTGCCTGGTGAAGCTATAGTTTTGTACACAAAATGTGCATTTTATACCTTGAGACAAAAAACATGAAACAGTAAAAATCAAAAACAAAAAAACCAAAACAAAACATTAAGATGAGATGTACCAGAAAAAGATTTGGCAGAAGACACTCCAAACTGTTGACAATGGCATTTCTATCAAGCAGGACTATGGCAACACTTCCACATTGTTTGAATTTTTTTTACAATTGCTATAATCACTTCATCTTGATAAAAAAAAAAATCACTAAAGATCTATTTTACTGGAGGTGTTTACAAAGGGTGTCCAACAGAAGTCTCTGTGACAATAGCAATGTTTAGTATCTCCGCAGGCCTGTAAGTAGACGCCAGTCAGGTGTAACTATTCAGAACTAATTATAATTTATTTACCTATAAATGGAAATATAAAGATAGTCAGTCTTTATAGTGAAATGACAGAAAAAAAAATTTTTTTGAGACAGACCTCCACTTTGTTGCCCTCACTAGAGTGCTGTAGTATCACAGCTCACAGCAACCTCACACTCTTGGGCTCAAGTGATCCTCTTGCCTCAGCCTCCAGACTACTGGGACTACAGCTGCCCGCCACAACGCCCGGCTATTTTTTATAGACAGGGTCTCACTTGCTCTTACTCAAGCTGGTCTCGAACTCATGAGTTCAGGTGATCCTCAGACTTACAGGGTGCTAGGATTATGGGCATCAGCCACCATGCCAGGCCTACTGTGCTATTCTTGCAACATTTTTGTAGCTTTGAACATTTTCCAAAATAAGTTCACTTTTTTTTTCATTATAGAGAAAGGGTCTCACTGTACTGCCCAGGCTGGTGTGAAACTCCTGGGCTTGAGAGATCCTCTCACCTGGGCCTCCAAAAGTACTGGATTTCAGACATTAGCCACAGTGCTCTGCTTGAAATAAATCCATTTTGGAAAAAAAGATCTATTTTGAAGATTAATAGAAGAGCCCTATGAAACAAACACAGAATGGTTGGCATTACTGGTAGCTTTATTAAATTCGTTTACCTTCTAAAAAAAAGATTATAAAAAAGAGTACTTCATTTAAGTGTATAATACTGTCTTTATGGACGTACCGTGGTTGTAAATTGGAATTAAAGCTCATGAATATATGTGAAATTGGGGAGAGGCAGGATCTCAGGAGTCCAGTGGTGAGGGAGAAAGAACAGCAGAAAGAAGAGTAGAGATGGACCTATCTCAGGTCACATATTCCTGGGCCAAGGGGCTGCTTCTAGGAGCTTAAAATAAATGCACTCACTGGCTCTGGGGCTGGACACAGATGCACCCAACTCTAGTACCGCTTCTTAAAGCTGCAGCCTTCAGCCAGGCCTCAGCAGTTGTCCCCACTCAGCTTTGGTTGTGTTTTCTTGAGGACATACATGCGCAAATCCATCCATCCACCCATCCTGGTTGTCTTGTTTGGCCATCCAAACCCTTTTGTCCTAGGTACATCTCAATTAAAAAAAAAAATCAAAGCAAGTCCATCTACGATAAGCCAAGAAACCTACTTTTCTAGGCCAGAAGCCAATTCTTTGCTTTCTTTAGTGAGCACATGAGCTTTGGGGCTTACACTGTTCTGCTGAGGTTTGGCCCGACAGCCCTGGAGGCTGAGCTAACTGGATGCCAAAGGGCAGTGCACATATTTGGTAGGGAGCACACTCCCCAATCACAAGGCACATTTTTAGAGGCTTGGAGTCCTTCCCTTTCGTGGCTCACCAAGGAAAAGAACAGGAAAGAAAACTATACTGAGACTCTAGGGGACACAATGGGCCATGAAGGAAACTCTGAGCATCTCTGGCAAGCTTCATTTCCAGTAGTTTCTGTTCCAGGCATCTCTGGAAAGTCTACTCATAGTGTTAAAAAAACAAATTGGCCCTCGTTTGGGCTTTAGCAAAGTCCTGTCTCTTTAAGTTTGCTCCAGGAGAGTCCTGGGTCAGGGGCAGCCAACTTTTAATTGTGTACACATGGGGGTTTTGGAACTTGCTTTGTCCTCTGCCAATAAGCACATCCCCTGTTTTCTTTCCTTTGAGGAGAGAGATTCTGAAATTCCAGAGAGAAAAAGCACCCGGCCCTGTTACCACAGTTCTGGGCCCATGGATGGAACAGCCACTCTGAGAACCAGATCTTTTTCCTGTGTCTGCAAGTCTGAAGAATTTTCTAGGAAAATTAACATTTGCCAGGGCCTCTGTGCTAGGAGGGAACAGATTTCTGGGGAATTAATTTCTTTGCATGAATTGGTTCCCTACAAGTCACAGAACCCTACCAAGGCATCTCAGCTCCTATCACCCAACCCCACCACCCCCATTTGAACAGGGGTGACGTTCAAGGCAGAGAATTGAGCTTTCTGCTCCAGGTGACAAGGACAGAATCTGTTTTGTGAAGTGACCAGAAGAAAATTCCCCCAAGAAAGACATCTAGTGGGGAGCAGATAAAACACTGTTATATGCCAGACAATTAAATGTTGGGAGGTGGACATAGGGGAGCCACTTGAACCCTGACCTGTGTGTAATAACACTCAGGATTAAAGTGACAATATGCAAATTCCAGTGACTTTCAAATCTGGCAACAAATAATCTGATTGCTGCTCTCTCCTGCAACAATGATTCAAAGATTGGTATTTATTCCCCCTCGTCCTCCTCCATCTATAATTGCCTGCCAATTGTTCTCCATGATCTTCATAAAACCCACACCCCAGCCTTTGACTGGCGCCAATTTATACAAGAATTTAGCTTTGGTCTGCGCTGTGGCTGCTTTGAACAGGGGTGCCAAGAAAACCCGCTTGGAGCTGGAGTCTTGTTGCCCTCGGGGCTCCCCCCAGGGAAGCAGAAGGAAAAACCCACTTGCCTTGGAGACATGGGCCTTGGGGAGTGTGAGCAGGGGATGGCGGGGGTGGGGGGGTGGGGGACGGGACAGGGACAGTTTGTTCTGGGGCTGGCTGGTCCCGGAGGGGAGGCTATTCTTCTGCTGAGGACGAAGCAGGACTCTCATCATCTGACATCGGGGCAAACTGAAACGAGAAATAGAGTTTTTTGTTTGATGTCCCTTCACACTCCTCTGCAGAGGTGCCAACTTGGTGGCAGCTGGTAAGCAAAAGCCAACATGATCTCTGGCCTCAAGGAGGTGGCCCTCTGGGACCAATGCCTCAAAAAAGCAAACATACGGATGCAGCATGTTTCTCAGGGATAAGGGACGGATGGGAACAGTGGACACAGGGTCATCTGGAAGGGTGACAACAGACTTGACCCCTGAGTGTTGGGGAAGGCCAGCCAGGGGGCAAAGGTGCTCCAGGTGGAGGAAACAGTGTGTGTCAAGGTTGTGAGGCAGTAACAAAGGAGGAAAGGCACTAAGGCCAGTGTGGCTGAAGGGTGACAGGGAGCAGTGGAAGGACTTTGGCATTTTCACTAGGTAAGACAGGAGTCATGGAGGGCTGTGTGCAGAGGCGGGACCTGACTCAGCTGTTCACAATTACCTCTGGCTGCTGTGAGGACAGACTAGGGGTTTAGGTGAGCAGACAAGGGTGAAGGGCAGTCCTTGTGGATGCAGAGGAAGGATTAGGGTTTCTCTCAAGAGTCCTCAGGGACAGGACTGTGGATTACATGGCAGTAGGGCTTGGGACATCACCCGGCCCCATCATTCCCATCTGTAAGTGAGAGCAGTTGTGGAGATGGGGGCCCAGAGCTGATGCCCAGCAGTAAGCACCAGGACTGAGACTCAGGTGCCCTGACACCCTGGGGTGGGGGTTTGGGGACCAAGTGGAAAAACTGAGCCTGAACAGGAGCCTTGGAATGAGGTGGGAGATGGACGGTCTATGTGTCAGCAGCCTTCTCTTTCTGGGAGTGTTTGGGAAGTCACCATGATGACGCTCACCATGTATCCAGTCCTAAAAGTGCCTCATGTGAGGCCCAGAGAGTGCAGGTTAGGGGCCAGTGAGGCTGCCTGCCCAAGGCCCTGGAGTTGGCAAACAACAAGGCCTCCAGTTCTTCCTGGCTGTTGAGACTCTGGGTCAGGGGTACGACCTCTCCAAGTATCAGTTTCCCCACTGGAAAAATGGGAATAACAATACTTTGTGCAAATGCCTGGGAACTAGCATGGTGGCTTACACCTGCAATCCCAGCACTGGGAGGCCAGGAGTTTGAGACCAGCCTCGGCAACAGAGCAAGATTCCATCTCTACAAAAAATAAAAGAAAATAAGCCAGATGCAATCCCACATGCATCTATAACCCAAGCTACTCAGGAGGCTGAGGGAGTTCAAGGCTGCATGAGCTATGGTTGTGCCACTGGACTCTAGCCTGGGCCATATAGTGAGACCCTATTGCTTAAAAAAAAAAAAAAACACCTGTAATCCTCACACCTGTAATCCTAGCACTCTGGGAGGCTGAGGCAGGCTGACTGCTTGCATTCACAAGTTCAAGACTAACCTCAGCAAAAACAAGACCCCATCTCTACTAAAAATAGAAAATCTGAGGCAAGAGGATCGCTTGAGCCCAAGAGTTGGAGACTGCTGTGAGCTATGACACCATGGCACTCTACCCAGGGCAACAGCTTGAGACTCTGTATCAACCCCCCTGCCAAAACAAAACAAACAAAAAAACTCCCAAATACTCCCAGAAGTTACTTGTATACAGCCTATAAGGCTGAAGGGGTGTGTCTCTTCCATCTGACAAGGGACTTGCTTTGGGGACCGATGGGTACTGCCCCTGTTCCCTCTATCAGCTATTTAGCACACAGTAAGTATCACTATTGCTCTCCTGTTATGCTTTCAAAAGAGTATTTTGCTAACAGGCACGTGATTTTTTAAAGACCCAACCGTCTATGGTGAAGTAAGAGAAATGCTGGGTCAGGCACATGAAGTTAGCTTTCTTTACAGCCAGGTATCTCGGGACCTATTATTTTTTCTTAAAAAAAATTTTTTTTTGAGACTGAGTCTCACTTCTGTTGCCCTGAATAGAGTGCTGTGGCGTCATAACTCACAACAACCTCAAACTCTTGGGTTCAAGAGATCCTCTTGCCTCAGCCTCTCAAGTAGCTGGGACGACAGGCATCTGCCATAACCCAAAGCTAATTTTTCTTTCTTTCTTTTTTTTTTTTTTAGACGGAGCCTCAAGCTATCCCCCTGGGTAGAGTGCCATGGCATCACAGCTCACAGCAACCTCCAACTCCTGGGCTCAAGTGAGTCTCCTGCCTCAGCTTCCCAAGTAGCTGGGACTACAGGCGCCCGCCACAACGCCCGGCCATTTTTTTATTTTGGTTGTAGCCATCATTGTTGTTTGGTGGCCCGGGCTGGGGATTCGAACCCGCCACCTTAGGTGTATGTGGCTGGCGCCTTAGCCGCTTGAGCCACAGGCGCCGAGCCAGCTAATTTTTCTATTTTCAGAAGAGACAGGGTCTTGCTTTTGTTCAGGCTGATCTCCAGCTCCTGAGCTCAGGTGATGTACACACCTTGGCCTCCCAGAGGGCTAGGATTACGGCGTGAGCCATTGCACCTGGCCCCTAAAAAATTTGTTAGACACAGGGCCTCACTCTGTCGCACAGGCTGCAATAAAGTAATGATCATAGATCATTTCAGCTTCACATTCCTAGGCTTGAGTGATCCTCTCACCTCAGCCTCCTCAGTGGCTGGGACTATAAGTGCACACCACCACGCCTGGATAACTTTTAAAATTTTGTATAGAGGGTGGTGCCTGTGGCTCAAAGGAGTAGGGAACTGGCTCCATATGCCTGAGGTGGCAGGTCCAAACTCAGCCCCAGCCAAAAACTGCAAAAAAAAAAAAATTTTGTTTAGAAATGGGGTCTTGCTGGGCAGCACCTGTGGCTCAAGAAGAAGGGCACTGGCCCCATATACTGGGGGTGGCAGGTTCAAACCCGGTCCCAGCCAAAAACTGAAAAAAAAAAAAGAACCGGGGTATTGCTATGTTACCCAGGCTGGTCTTAAAGTCCTAGCCTCAGCAATCTTTCCACCTTCCAAAGTGTCGGGCTTTAGGCATGAACCACCACACGGGGCCCTTGGGGACTTTAATACACTGACATGCTGGGAGGCGCTTGTGGGTCAAAGGAGTAGGGTCCCGGCCTCATATACCAGAGGTGGCAGGTTCAAACCAGCCCCAGCCAAAAACTGCAAAAAAAAAATAATAAAATAAATAAACTCACATGCTTTGAATATAAGCCCCAGTCTGCACTGCAGCTCACAAGGCCCTTCTGGATCTGCCATGTCACCTCTCTGCCCACCCCTTTTCCCACTGGGCTCCTTCATGATCCTGAAACACACCAGGCATATTCCTGCCTTAGGGTCTTTGCACTGGCTGTTCTTTCTTTCTGGATTGTCACATGACTCACTCCCTTATATCTTTGGTTGTGGGATATCAAGTGTTATCTTTTCGCTGAGGCCTACAAGGGCTCACTTGCTGTGTCCTTTTGTCCCGTTTTATACAGTAGACCCTCCCACAGTTGACCACCTCCTCACACTGACCATCTCCTTAAGCTGACCTCATTTTCATAGACTGATATGAATCACATGTACATATCAATACAGCAGGCCTAGTTCCTTACGTTAACCAGTTTGCTATAGTCCCTTGGATGGTCAACTTACAGAGGTTCTACTGTATTTCTTTGTAGCACTTCCCATCACCTGACTATGACACAGTGATTTGTTCACTGTCTCTCACCAGAACGAGAGGGCAGATGCTTTTTTTGTTTTTGTTCAGTGCTGTGACCCTCAAGAGCCTAGAACTGGGCCTTATACACAGCAGGTACTCTGAATATTTCTCGAAAGAGAGAATGGTGATTCAGAACGTGGATCTAGAACCAGATAGACCTGGGTGCGGATTCCGTCAGGCCAGCCACGAGCGCACAGTCTTGGCCCTGTGCATCACTTCCTCACTGGGGCACCACGAAGGTACAATGAGCAGCTGCCCACAAAAACCTTGGCACGGGCTACATGCCATCAGCTCTTCATAAACACCCATCTCCTTCCAGAGGCCCCCATCCTGTGAGACTCACCGAGCACTTGATGTTCATGTGGGAATACAGCATGGACGCGATCTCACTCTGCCCAGCATCCAAGGCCACCATCAAGGCTGTACTCCCATCCTGCAAAGTATCTGTTGCTGTGAAGATGCCCTGACCTGTGCTCCTACCCTCCCTGGGGGTGCACCTGGGTGAGGACTCACATGGTCAGTGAGTGAGATGTCACAGTTGGGCACAGCCAGCAGCAGCCCCACTATCTCCTTGTGGCCATGTTCACAGGCGCACATGAGGGCTGTTGACCCGTCATCATCCTGCACGTTGACATCTGCCTCGCAGGCCAGCAGGGCTTTGACAACATCCACCCGCCCATGGCTGACTGCCAGCATCAAGGCTGTCTGTCCGGCCTGGATAAGGCAAGGAACAGGATTATAGCCTGGGCAAGACCCCCCTGCTCCAGAACCACCTGTAGCTCTCAAGTACTTTGATGTTAACATGTACCCTCACTTGCTGGCTCCTCCCCTGGGCTCCTTCTCATCCCCAAGGTCTTGGCTTACATGTCTCCTCCTGGGAGGGGGCTCACCAGGCAAACACCTGAGAGTGGGTGTGAGCCCTCAGACCAGTCCATGCCTCTCCCAACTAACTACCACCAGGAGCACTGGGTATCACATTTCCTTCCTACCATCCCCCACCGCTAGCTGGTTCTTGACCTTTTTTTTTTTTTTGCAGTTTTTGGCCAGGGCTGGGTTTGAACCCACCACTTCTGGTATATGGGTCCAGCGCCCTACTCCTTGAGCCAAAGGCACCACCCTTTTTCTTTTTTTTTTGAGACAGAGTCTCACTATGTTTCCTTCAGTAGAATGCCGTGGTATCACAGCTCACAGCAACCTCAAACTCTTGGGTTTAAGCGATTCTCTTGCCTCAGTCTCCCGAGTTGCTGGGACTACAGACACCTGCCACAACCCCGGCTATTTTTTGATTGCAGTTGTCATTGTTGTTTAGCAAGTCTGGGCTCGAACCTGCCAGCCTCGGTGTATGTGGCTGGTGCCCTACTCACTGAGTTATGGGCGCCAAGCTTGGTTCCTGACTCTCTATTTTGTGTATGTGTAAAAATCTATCAAGTTGGGCGGCGCCTGTGGCTCAGTGAGTAGGACGCCCCTTATACCGAGGGTGGTGGGTTTGAACCCAGCCCCAGCCAAACTGCAACAAAAAATAGCTGGGTGTTGTGGCAGGCGCCTGAAGTCCCAGCTACTTGGGAGGCTGAGGCAAGAGACTCTCCTACGCCCAAGAGCTGGAGGTTGCTGTGAGCTGTGATGTCATGGCACTTTACCGAGGGCGACAAAGTGAGACTCTGTCTCTAAAATAATAATAATAATAATAATAAAACAACAAAAGAAAATTTAAAAAAATCAATCAGGCCAGGATCATGCCTGTAATTCTAGCACTTTGGGAGACAGGTGGATTATTTGAGCTCTGGAATACAAGAGCAGCCTGAGCAAGAGTGAGACTCCATTTCTTCTGAAAATAGAAAAAAATCAGCAAGGTGTGGCGGGCACCTGTAGTCCCAGCTACTCAGGAGGCTGAGGCAGGAGGATCACTTGAACCCAAGAGTTTGAGGTTGCTGTGCACCATGCACTCTAGCCCAGGATAACAGAGTGAGACTCCATCTCAAAAAACAAACAAACAAACAAACAAAAAAATTACCAAGGTTGGGCGGCGCCTGTGGCTCAGTAAGTAGGGCGCCGGCCCCATATACCGAGGGTGGTGGGTTCAAACCCGGCCCAAGCCAAACTGCAGCAAAAAAAAAAAAATAGCCAGGCATTGTGGTGGGCACCTGTAGTCCCAGCTACTCAGGAGGCTGAGGCAAGTTGAGAATCTCCTAGGAGGTTGGAGGTTGCTGTGAGCTGTGACGTCACAGCATTCTACTGAGGGTGACGGAGTGAGACTCTGTCTCTAAAAAAAAAAAAAAAAAAAAAAAAACCAAGGTTGCTGTTGTTGGCCTTACACATTGCCTTTTTTAGAGACAGAGTGTCACTCTGTCACCCTTGGTAGAGTGCCATGTCGTCACAGCTCACAGCACCCTCCTGCTGGGACTACAGGTGCCCGGCTAATTTTTATTGCAGTTTGCCTGGGGCTGAGGCTGGGGCCGGGTTCAAACCCGCCACCCTCAGTATATCGGTCCAGCACCCTACTCACTGAGCCACAGGTGCCGCCCCGCAGTGCCCTTTTGTACACGCATTCTTTTGGCTGTTGCAAATCCTCCCCCTTCCTCACTGTCTCACTGCCTGGCTTTCCTGCTCTCTGCTCTTTTGCCTGGATACCCGTCCACACCCCTGTTACTTCCATGGTCACCTGACTTTTGCTCTCTAACATACAGCCCAAGGAGCTGTCAAACCAGGGACAAGGCTACCCCACCACCATGCTGGTGTCCTGCAGCCCCTGAGGCCTAACCTGTTTGTAATGCTGTGGCTCCCAGAGCACCTGCCAGAGAACCTTAGGAGCATGGAGACCAGGTCTGTCTGTCCACCCTCTGAGGCCCCAGCTCCTTACCAGGGAAACCCAGTTTGTGTCAGGTTCAGAAAGGTAAGGATGCCCAAGTCCTCCATGCTTCCCAGGTTCCATAAGGAGCCCCCATGTCAGAGGCAGCCTGGCCACCAGGAGCAGAGTCGGGAGCTAGGCCCCCTAGATTCACATCCTGCAGCTTGGCCCTGGAGAACAGCCAGGATGTGGTAAAGCAGGAAGGGCTGCTATGTCTGCAGTGGCCGAGGGGCCCATACCTGGCTGGCTTTGGCGTTGACATTTCCGAGCCGAAAGAGCTGCAGGACAGTTTCAATGTCATCCTGGGTCTTCAGGGTGGCCAGGGCAGTGAGCATGATGGGGTTATAGCCAGCACGGTTCTGCTTGTTCACCTGGCAGACACCTGAGAGGGGGTGTGAGCCCTCAGACCAGGCCACCAGAAGCACTGGGTATCATGTCTCTCCTCTGTCAGTCTAGGCATGGCCTAATTATTGCCTGTCTCAGACTGAGAACTCAACTCTGCCCTAAGGGGTCCCCATCTCTACTGTCAAGTCGCTCCAAAAGTTGGAGACTGTGCCTCCTACATTGGGTCATGGGACTAACATCCTTATTTGGGGCTAAGAACAGGAACTGGGGCTCCCCTGTCAAATGGGAAGAGCCATTCACACTCAGACTGGCCCATGCCTCCCCTGTCAGACTGTGGGCTCTGCCTCTTTCACCAGTTTGGGAGGCTGTGTCTTCCCCACCAGACTAGCACAGATAAAGTTTCTTTCGCCTAAATGAGGACCGCATCTTCTGTTGAAGCCCCATACTGGAGGCCCCACTGTCTTTGATGGGGGCTATAGAGATGTCACTTGTACTATACAGGCACACTCGGGGACAGTGGAGAGTCACATCTTTTTCACAAGTTCACATCTGCCTTTTCTACTACACTGGCTAAAGGTGGGGCCTATGTCTCTTCCACTAGATTGGGAAGGTAACGTCTCTTCCATTAGACCAAGACGGCCACTTTCCCCCCACCAAACCAGGAGGATGGTGTCTCCGCCATCAGACTGGGAGAGTATCATCAGACCAGTATGAGAGGAGGAGGGTGGTGTCTCCCCAACCAGATTGGGAGGGGGTACCTCCCCCTCTAGAGTGAGAAGGTGGTGTCTCCCCCACCAGACTAGAAGAATGGTGTCTCCTCCATCAGACAGCAAGCCTGGACTGACAGATAGCCTTCTCACCCTCTGCCCGGCTCACCGCTGTTGAGTAGTTGCTGCACCACAGGAAAGTTGGCATGAGATACAGAGTAGTGCAGTGCCGTGTTCCCGTTGCTGTCAGCAATGTTGACCACGTAGTCCAGTAGCTGTGCTGACATGGCCCGGAATGTGACCAGGTGGCGGCGCACGAGCTCAGGGTGTGCATCGCTGCGGCAGGCCAGGCGCAGCCACTCCTGTAGCACTGTGGTATAGGCCACTTTCTGCACAAGTCAGACGGGAGAAAGTGTGAGGGTGGCAGAGGCCCCATCACCTCCCAGACAAAACCTCAGGAAAACAGCATAGACACCCTGCCCCGGATGAACCCCTAGGAGCAAAGCTTCACGGATGCAGCCATGGAAGCAACCCCCAGGATGGTGGCTTCATCCTGGACAAGGTCCTCGAGGGAGATGTAGACAGCTTGAGAGGGAAGTGTAGACAGCCCTGTCCCACTAAGATCTTTGAAGTGGGGTATGGATGCTGAAATCCCAGACATGCTCCCCAAAGGAAGGTGTGAGCACCTCCATCCTGGACATAATGGCCAAAGGCAAGTGTATATGCTCAAAAGTTAAATATGGGAGCCTTACCTTAAAGCCCTGAGGAGGAACAGGAAGTCAAGGGCAGGCTTGGCCAGTGGGTGGTCATTCTTGGGCCTCTCCCTGCCTCCATGGCCCCTCTCCAAAGCCAGTGACTCAAGTACCACCACCCCTTCATTCCAGGCTTGGGTCTCAGGGTTCCCATTAGGCAAATAGAGGGAGACACCAAGGATAAAGAGAAGCCAAGGGTAGAGGTGGAGGGGCGAGGGTCCCAGCTAGGCCCAGGCCAGACCGTACCAGCTCCCGCTCGGTGAGGGCATTAGGGTTGTCCAGGTATTTTTCCAGGGTAAGGCAGGCTGAGATGAGGTCAGGACTTAGCTCCATCCTGCCAGGAAATGAGTGAAGAATTATCTCAGGAACAATCCCCATGAGTCCCCTGGGTCCCTCCCCACTACTATTCATATCTAGCTGTGGTGCTCACAGAGGAGCTCAAGGCTCTACACCATGTCACTCACACAATGGTTACCTCAATGGTGGCATCTCAAACCCCCTTCACTTGGGACACTCTTTTACACACACCCCAATGGGCAGACATGGGGAACATGCAGACCTCCAAGAGAAAGTGGACACAAAAGCCAAAACTTAGTTTAAATGGCCAGCACAGAGGGAAGACATTTCCCAAGGGGCAGATTTTTTATCAGGGAAGAAATAAATAATTAGAATGGGCAGGTGAAACAAACATCTCACCAAAGGTGGTAGCTTAAGGACAAACTTTGACTGGACCCCTAAATCCTAACACTATTAGCCCAAAATACCCCATTAGGCTCTTTATCAAAGCCTCTAGAACAGTGGTTCTCAACCTTCCTAATGCCACAATGTATTTTCATTGTTAAAAAGGGGTTGCGACCCACAGGTTGAGAACCACTGTTCTAGAATATCAGATGCCCAGAAGGAGAAAGTGCTTGTTTGCTAATTCAGACTGAAGTACACATGACTGATGGGAGAGTTCTTTAAAAAGCTTGAGGGCAGGCTCGGCGCCTATAGCTCAACCGGCTAAGGCGCCAGCCACGTACACCTAAGGTGGCGGGTTCGAATCCCCAGCC